ATCAGTCACTATTTGATGCATTCTGCAGCTCTAGAGGATCCTTGTCAGCAAGTATCCTTGCTTCAGAGGTTGCTGAATTCCTTGGACCTTTAAATTCTCTGATGAAGGACAATTTTTAAAGAACTGTGTGCCGTGCAAGAAGGGACAGAGGTATCATGCGATGGTATATTATGGCACTTATCCTACATACAGCCAAATATATACTACTTCCTTCTCCATAATTTGGTTTTCTACCCCTTTTATGTACCTTAACCCTCAGGGGAATTGCAGCTTTTGAGATTTTGGCATTCAAAATTTCAGTATTTGGGATTTTAATTTCTGGGACTGTGGTTTTTAGATTTTAATGTTTAGAAATTATAGATGTTAGGGATTTTGAGCTTTTGGAATTTCACCATTTGGGACTGAAGTTTGGGATTTTGATCAGCACTGCTCCCACAGGAGTCACCTTGAGCCACTAGGTAGCAACGTGGCTGGACTGAGAAAAACGTCCCATTTGTCAGACACTGCCGTACATCCTTCTTCAACGAACGTTGTTTTGGAATTCTTCATTTCTATTCACTGTTAATCCCAAAATATTCTTGGACTAATATTAGGGATAACGCAAACTTGGCCAGAACCACATTTTTTAGATATGTTAACTAAGGTAGCTTGTGAAAATTTTACAGGATATTGAAACTATATGCATAATTGCCTACCGAAATAATGCGTGAGTAGAGCAGTACTTACCTCACATGGACCACTGAAAATAAATAATAACCTTATTCTTGGGACAATTGGGGAAGACTGAATATAAATATGAATAATACTAGACAGTAACAGTTTATAGGATTGCTAATTTTGTTGATGTAATTACGTACTGGGATTTTGTAAGAGAATGCCTTTATTAGAAAAGCTAGCTAAGTATTTGGGTGGTGAGGTAGCCATGATACAACCTTTTCCCAAATGGTACAATAAAAAAGTGTGCATAGCAGTAAACTAAGTGAAGTTTTTATCGATTAGTTCATTGTTCTATTATTTATATTTTTCTGTATTTTTGAATTTTTAAAGAATATTAAAGGAAAAGTAGGAGAAAATAAAGTGCAAAGCAGTTTCAATCCTCAAGGCATAAACCAAGAAATCATAAACCTCATTAAAATAAAAGCAAAGGCAATTTTTATTTAGGCAAAGAACACATATGTGAATCTGGAAACTCAGGCTCATTTAGAAACCCAACAAACATTCCATCAAACAAGGACTGATTTTTGTTCCAAGTCTTTTGTGGTGTTGGCGACTGAACCCATTACATTCTCATTCCTTTTAATTTTTTTTTTTTGTTTGTTTGTTTTTGTTATTTATTTTGAGACAAGGTCTTATTAACTTGCTCAGGCAGGTCTTGAACTTGTGATCCTCCTAATTCAGACTTCCAGAGTGAGGACTGAGTTTTTTTGTTAGTTTTTTTTGGTTTTTCTCCGGTACCAGGAACCGAACTCACGACCTTGCGCTTGCCAGGCAGGCGCTTTGCCGCTGAGCTAAATCCCCAGCCCCCGGACTGAGTTTTTAAAAGGAAAAGGAAGGGGGAATAATGAGGTGAGGTGAAATAAATTATTTTGAACAATTTTGATTGGCCCTGCTAGTTACAGACTGGTGCTGGGGGTCTGGTGTTACATTAAGCTACACGTGATTGGTTTAGATGGTCCTTTGGAAAAGCCAGTAAGTCAGCAGAAACCTGCACCACAGAACTGTGGTCATTTGCAGTCCTGTAAGCACACTTTCCCCCCGGACAGCGTTCTTCATCTGGAAGATCAGGTGAGGGACTCCCGGTGGGCAGGCTGCAGATGTCAAAAACAGAAGCCCTGATGCACAAAGAGAGGTTTTGATCTCTTCATTTCGAACCACAGCCATCTTAATTCTCAACTCCACAAAGACAGTTTAAGTTTTGACTTCATCACTTAACATAATCTCTTGCCCTACTTAAGTGATGAACAGTTAAAATCTTTTTATTAGATACAGGGACTGAAGAATATTTAGGAGACCCACTGAAGGGGGAGATAAAATTTCTTTTCTGCCTTTTTAGTGTTTCTACTTGGCCTAAACTTTAAATTGACATTAGAGAGATCAACAGGAGAAAAATCACACACATAAGTAACTTTTCAGTGTATATGGAAGCCTTCACAAAGAAATGCAGAGAGAAGGAAGAGTTAAACACTTGCACACTAGTTTGGACAAAGAGGAGCAAATTGTGAAAATCTGACCTGTCAGAGGCCTTGGGCTAAGGCACCTCATTGTGGAAAAGTGACTAGGAAGATGCAGGATAATTGAATAGAGGTTGTTTGTACAGATCTCTCTTGGCCTCCATTCCCATTTCTGGCAGTGAGATACCTTCCTCCTGGGGGGGGTGGGGTGTCTGGAGGGTACCTTTCTCATGAGAGTTTCCTCTGGTTTTGGGAAGAGAAGGATGGGGTCCCCTCATGCATCTGCTCTTTTTCAGGTGCCTTTGACAGTATGACAAGGGAGAGTATTTTAGAATGGCAAACTTCCTTCATTACCATAGGCTCCATACACATATATTTTTAAACTAAACTAATAATTGTCAGGGGGTATTTGGCAGAGATATGATGGCTTGTGGATCCAGGATGTAAAGATATTCAACTCAATGCAATAAAACATTTATTTGTGATATAATAGCATACATTTTAAAATTAATTTTATTGGTACACTTATGATATACTAGTGATCACATCCAGCATAGGGAATTTGTACCTGTACACAGTACATTTTGATTCTTTTTTCCCCATTCCACTTCCCTTCCTTCAACCCTTCTTTCCATCCTTATCTACGAAAACTTTGTTTCCATTTTGTTCCTTCTGTTCTTTTTTCTTTTTCTCTTTCTTACCTCCCTGCTTCCTTCTTCCCTTCCTATTTGACAAGTTCTTCCTACTTTCATTTTGGTCCTTATTTACCTTTTAAATTTCTCACACAACAGAAACAATGCAATATTTAAATGCATGTTTCCAATTTGTTTCACTTAAAAGTATGGTCTCAAGGTGCATCCATTTACCTAAAAATGTCTCAAGTTTATCCCTTTTTATGGCAGAGTAGTACTCCATTGTATATAAAACCACATTTTCCTTATCATTAATAGCACATATATGTTGATGTGTCTCCCTTGTCCCTACCACACAAACTGAATGGAAATTCATTGAACATATGGGCTGGGGATGTAGCTCGGAGGTAGAGTGCTTGCCTAGTATGCACAAGTCCTTGAGTTTGATCTCCAGCACAACCAACAAAACAAACAAAAACTAACTTTATTAATGTAGCAGTTTGATTATTATTTAATACATGATAATTTATGTAACTGTACTGAGTATGACAGGCCTCAAATAGTTTATTGGACTTGAAGGTGGACCGCTAGGGATCCTACAGGAGCAGGGATTTCTACAGGAGTCCCAGGAACACGGAATATGGTGCAAGACACAGAAATGTGTGTATTGGTAGAGCTTGTGGGTATTTCTCGATATAGGCGGGCTCAAGGTTCATTGTAAAGGGAAATGTCGGTAGACACAGCTAAGGTTAGGCACACTAAAAGGGCCTGGTGCACGGGGAGTGAGCAGGAACAAGGAAGAAGAGCGGGGAACAGAGGGAGGTAAACCTGTAGGGTTGGGAGACGTGGAAAGCTTACTCTGTTACGCACTCATTTTATGTTAAAAGCCATTAGAGCTTTACCTGGGATGCTCTGTTCTTTTTTTTTTTTTTGGTTTTTCTCTGGCACCGGGAACCGAACTCACGACCTTGCGCTTGCCAGGCAGGCGCTTTGCCGCTGAGCTAAATCCCCAGCCCCATACCTGGGATGCTCTGGACAACCTCATACCTGAAAACAAGTTTGGGTTGTGAGAGTGAAAAGGGAGGGGTAGCATTCAGCATTGGCCCTGCAAGGCTTGGGACTCCAAGATCATGGTTATAGTCCACACGTGGGGTGGGGTAAGTCTGTAGACAGTTAGTGGGCAAAAGGGCTTATTCTCAGAAAAGACTGATTTTGAGTCAGACTCAGGAGACATCACAGTTGCTGCTGAAGCTGGTAAAACAGGTGCTTCTAGGCCCACTTGTAGAAGCACCCTAAAAGGGAAGGACAGAAGTGGCTGGGGAGAGAGGTGGAGAATGTTTCCTTGGTTGGTTTTATGTTCCTATGGTTTTGGCCCACAGGGTCCAGAACCACTGCCAAGACTTTCGTACCCTGGGTGTGCTCATACCAAGTCACCTAAGCCAAGCCGTGTGTGGATCTGCTTATGAGGTGGTCCAGTTCAGCCCTGGGTTTGTAAAGAAACTCCCATTTCTTTATTTTTTTGATTTTTTTTTTCTAGTACCGGGAATCGAACTGATGACCTTGTGCTTGCCAGGCAGGCACTGTGCCGCTGAGCTAAATCCCCAGCCCCAAGGAAGACTACCATTTCATGGCTGGTGAGCCATGTGTATTTCTTCCAAGCTGTGTTACTAATTTTTTAAAAATAAACGAGTAGAGGTCTTTGATTTCCTTTGCATTTTCCTATGAAGTGAGACACCCCAGAGAGAGAGGAAGAAAGCAGCAGGTTTCAGTTCAAAGGTATAAAAACAGCAATAACAGGAGGGAGGCTCTGGGTGCAAGTGACTTTGGGTAAACGCAAGTATGAATGTGTACAAATTAAAAAGGTTTCATTCCCTTCCTTATGAATTTCCAGATGCCTTGTTTTGAATTTCTCTGGGTCTTCCTGGTCACTATTTGACAGACTGATACAGTAAAATGAAACTTACAGCCTAAGTATAGATAATGAATTGAATGGAACATAACTGTAAAGATCAAAATAACTTTTTTCAAAATTATTATTGAAATAAATTTGATAAGCATAAAATTTATTTAATGTTATTTTGTTAGGCATAGGTGTATTTTTAAATGGTTGTATTATTTAGATATGCGTTTTATACTTGAATTTTTGTATCAAAAACATTTGGTTTGGTATTACAATATTTTTCTTAATTTTTTGCAGGAAAGTCTAAAAGATGTCAAATACGATGACAGAGGCATATCTCACTTGTCACTTCAGCTGGCAGACCAAATATTGTTAGCAGTCAAAGACTTTGGGTACCAACGTTATAAATTCGTTGTAAAAGTATTATTTATTCAAAAGACTGGTCAAGCAATAAACGTGAGTACCACACTGATCCGGCACCTTCTCCCTTCTGATCTGGTATTCATTGTGGAGACGTCAAAGCACTGCATTCCTGAGGTGCTTATGGAATGCAAGATCATTTTGTTAAATATCTTTTATTTTACTGTAAATTATGTGAAAAGTACTGACCTAGAAGTAGCATTTTGCTGTTAATTTATTAAACTGCAGAGTTATCCTGTTTCTTTATCATACCAATTATGACCACTTCATGTTTTGAAATTAATTAATCAGATTTGGGGGGGCAGTAATGTATGTTTTGAGGGAAATACAAAGAATTATAGGGTATTTGCCGGCAATTTCAAGAGGCTTTTATTCTAGCCAGGGAATAAAGCAGCCAAGTTTAGAAGGTAAGGAAAGAGAATGATACAGATATGTTAAAACTGAAGTTTTATTGTCCAGTCGCACAGGTAAGAGTTACAGCAGGAACACGCACTCACTGAGGCCTTGGCATGGTTTTTCCATCTATGAAATGGTAATGATGAAACCTATTTTGGAGAAGTACTGTGACTTTTATATGCAATTACGTGTATTAAAGTTTTTAATATAGATGCCAGCGGAGTCCTTTATAAGGTCGTTCTCATTATTTTTAAAGAAAAAGATGATGCCCCAGGCCACGTAAGTACCTAGGAAGCTGGCTGTGAGCATGTGGGAGTTGGAAAGAAAACTGTTGGAAAACGTGTCTGCAGCAATCCGAGGGGCTTCATGGAGGAGGGTACCAAATACCACCTGGAGAGGTGGAAGGGACTGTGGAATCTTGAGTCAGCACAGAGCCAGTCCTGGCTCCCAGGGCAAGTTTTCCCACATGTGACAAAAACACCTAAGTCACAGGAAACTTCTGGCTGGTGACAGGTCCTAGAGGTGGGTGATAAGGCAGAGTGCCTGGGAGGTGCCTGGATTGCCCAGCCAGGGGAAGGCTGATGCTCAGGTGATGAGAGAGGAACCCAGCCGTACCGAGAATAAGGAGACGGCTCCAAGCAGAGCCAACTTCCAGTGCAAACCTCCAAGGTGGAGGCAAACTGGGTGCTCTCAATAAGTGTCACTGTGCAGAGTGGTGTGATGTGCAGTCAGGGAACGTGCTAGTCAGTGTCACTGAAGAACATCACCCCAACGGTGGAAGCTTAAAATAACAGCCACGTCTCTGCTCACTGTTCTGCGGGGCCCCTCAGCGGCCACCAGCTGACTCAGCAGGGCCTGGTGGTATATGCAGACCTCTCACATGTCCGGCGGCGGGTGCTGGCAGGGTGCCTAGGCTCTCCCACATGCGAGCCATCATATACCAGTGGATAGAGCGACCTTCCTTCCACAGGAGTCTCAGCACAGCATTCCATGAGGGAGAGAGCAAGACCCCTAATTGTTCTACTTGGAAGTTGTACAATGTTACATTCTGTGTGTTAGACCAAGTGACTTAAATTCAAAGGGTAAGAAAATAAAGTCAACCTCTTGACAGGAGAAGCCCCAAATGTGGCCACTTATATCCACCACACAGAATGAGGCTGTGAGAAGATCATGGGTGGCTCTGTAAATAAAGCAAAGGCAGAAGGATTCTACAAGACAGGCTGTTCCTATTATCACTGCCATCTTGTCAGAACAAAGTGTGTGAGCTTCGGGCTTAGATTCTTGTAAGGGTGCAAAGAAGGATTCCTAACCATGGCCAGTAACATAACAGAACAGTACTGTATGCAAAGCTCTTACACCTGAACGTGGAGACTTCTCTTCCCGCATGGGGCACAAGCTGTAAGGCTGCTGTGGGCCTCCAGCAAGGAGAAAGGGGGCTAATCAGCATCACTCCTGAGTCTCTTCATGAAAGGAGAAAACTGGACAAATTACTTCTTAACTACAACTTTCTAAGATAGTGATGTAATTTTTTTGAAAAATCAAATTAGTACGGATTTAAAAATTCTTAATGTGTTCAACTGAAATTTGGTCTTTAAAATTTCCCCCACAGGTGGCCAGCAGATGGATCTGGGATGTTGCGTGGGACAACTGGATAGAAGCTAAACATGAAACTGAATCTTACGTGGCGTTGGCCTTGGTGTTTGCTGTTTACTGTGAATAGCTTGATGCATACACTAAACAGTGTTTACTTCCCCACTTTGTAAAAATAAACGCAATGTATACGTTTATGAACCTCATTATTCTGCTTAGCTATATTCTTCTCTCCAATTGAGGCTTCTTAGTTATTTTAACAACAAAGAAGCAAAAGTTCCATTTTGACATTTATACTTACTAGTTCTATTTATGTTCTTGCTTTCTGGGTTATGACAAAATGTCTGGGAAAATCAATTTAAAGAAGGAAAGATTTATTTTGGCTTATGGTTGTAGAGGTTTCAGTCTATGGATTTCTGGCAGCAGACCAGAGCTGCTTGCCTCACAGAGCCAAGAGGAAGAAAGGAGGTGGGGAAGCAGAGTGGACAGAATGTAAGAAAAGAAGGGGCGGAGTTCCTCCAAAGACATACCTCCATGACCTGCTTCCTTCAACTAGACTCAAACCCCTAAAATTTTTACTATGTCCTCAAATCACCTCTCTTTTCTAGTACTTACCATATCTCTAGTTGGAGTCCATCCTGACCATACATTTATTTCAATAGCCCCTTTCTTCTGTTTATTCATTTGCTAATATTTTGTTTAACAATACTATTTATCTACCTTGTTCTAGCACTGTATGAGATATAACTTATACTGTAGTAAACAAAACAGGGTAGCCTTCTCCTGCATTGGGGTGCTGGTGTTAAGTACCCAACCTCTGTGAGTTATGATAAATGCTTCAAAGGATAAACTGGGGAGAAAAATTGATGGGATGACTTTTATTTGGCTTAAGTCTCATCCTTGTGCCTCACACAGGTAACTGATAGTTATATCATCTGGGAAGCATAACTGATTTCTATGTCACTCTGCCTTAGTATGTCTTGATTGCCCTTTGCGTGAACATAAACTCTTTTGTCTGTAAGTTCTAGATTCTTTTTTTTTGTTTTTTTTTTCCGGTACAGGGAATCGAACTCATGACCTCGTGCTTGCCAGGCAGGCGCTGTGCCACTGAGCTAAATCCCCAGCCCCCAAAGTTCTAGATTCTTGTAGGTACAATGTGCCTCTGCCATGTTCTGAGACTCAGTGGAGATCTAGATGTCTGTGTCTAGATGTCTCCCCCAAGCCTCATCCAGTCATAGGTGGGGCTTTTTCCGAAGTGGCTGGATCTAGAGTGTGTGACACTGGGATTGATTCATGGTGTAGTGGGCACTAAGATAAAGAGTGTGAGTGCTACCTGCCCTAAGGGTGGGTATCCTAGATAAGATATAAGGGACAGAAAGAACTGTGGTGATCCTTTGTTTGTTTTGCCACCTTCTGCCCTCCATGAACTATTTGTCCTCTGTGATGCCAGTCTGCCACCCGGCCTTGGAACCATCTAATTATGGACTGAAACCTCTACAAATGGCAAGCTAAATAAACTTCTCCTCCCTTAACTTGTGGGTGTTGGGTATTTTTTCTCAGCAATGAGAACAGTAATGAACATAGTGGATTCCAGTAACTGTAAACATTACAAACCCTAACAGTACTTCTCAGCGCCAACACCACTCTTCCCTCACTTCCTTCCAGTCCAGGTTCGGTGAGATACCCTGCTTTGTACTCTCAGGATATCTTGCGCACATTTCTATTATTGTCTTCCCCGTCACAAAAAATCCTTCCAACCTCTCCCCCTAAAAGCTGCACTGAAGCTTGTACCAAGAAACCTCCTCCATGCTACCGTCTGCCTTGATCCACTCCACCTTATGACACTTCCTTGCCCTGAAGCTGCTAGACCATGACGGTAAATATTCAGGACTACAGAGTCTGAACCAGCTGTCACTATCTTGCACTGGAGCAGTGAAGACTGATCACATCAAATGTCATGTAATTTTTTATCAGTCAGTACAAGGAAGTCTTTCTCCCTGTTTCTCATGGTGAACTACTAAATTCCTAGAACCTAGGGACTCATGCATGGTTTAACCCCTACTCAAAAGAAGAACTAAGAAATATGAAAGTACAAATAGATACAAATAATGGTAGAAGTGAAATTGATGTGACTAGCAAATTTAAAAATGATGACAGCAAAGCAAAGCAGATAGGATGAGACCTAGGTCTAAGGGAAAGGTACAGTAGGAGCCAGAGAGAGAAAGTCCAGTAAACAGAATTCAAATCACTCTAGAAATGGAAAGCTGATTATGGCTGAGATACACTTTCCCCTACTTTGGACTTAAGATTATAATAAATAAGAAGTCTTAACCAGGTTGGCTAGCATTCCCTAAAGTGTTCAAGTTACTGGCAATGCTAAAAGAATTCAGTAAGTACAAAGAGCTAAACCTTTACTGCCAGCATACTTTGGTTCATTTTAGAAGAAACATGCATGGATTATCTAGAGAAAATCTTAGTGCAGCCCGGGGTGCTGCTGTGAAACCTGCCTCCAGGTTCCATAGATGAGTTAAAATGGTTGTGACACCTTCACACTAAAGAAATTCTTGGAGATATTTCACAACATTGAAATAAAAAGAAAAATTGCTAGTAGCTAATTCAAATTTAAGAGTATGAGCATTTATCAGATAGAGGAAGGAACTACAGGTCAAGAAGAGGACAAGCATACTTCAAATTACTATCCTAAGTTATTTTAAAAGAAGAAGCACTGATCTTCCACATTTTTCACACTTTGCAGTGTACTAAGTAAAGATTAGTTTTAAAATGGATACGATATATTTTAAAATTTAAAACCAGCAGTATGGCTTTTATTTATTTATTTTTGCATTTATTTTATGCTTAATTTATTCCCATGCCATAAGTTTTTGCTTCTTTAGTTTCTTCTGGGATATCTTTTTCTTCTGTGCAATTTCCTCCTCTGGTTTAGGAACAATTTGTTCTTTTTCAGTAAGGGTCATCTCAATACGGCAGGGGGAGCTCATGTGTGGGTCAATCCGGCCATGAGCTCTGCAAGTAGGGAGGCGCATCTTGGGTGCTTTGTTCACCTGGATATGTTCAATGACCAGGGAATCTACATCTAGACCCTTAAGTTCAGCGTTACTCTCTGCATTTTTAAGCATGTGCAGCAAAAATTCAGCATTTTTTTGGCCACCCACCATGGGCCCAGCCCCACTGTTTGGCCTGGGCACACACCTACCAACACCACCATTGTAACGCCTCAATGGCACACATTGCTTTTTTGTTTGTTTTTTGTTTTTTGCCGGTACCAGGAATTGAACTCATGACCTCATCATGCTTGCCAGGCAGGCGCTGTGCCGCTGAGCTAAATCCCCAGCCCCACACACTGCTTCTTTAATGTGACATCCTTTAGATACTTGGTGGCCTCTCTCATATGCATACCCTCAATGGCCTGGGCAGTTTCACGAGTGTTCTTAAAGTGAACACAAAGATTTGAGCCCCTTGATTTGCATGATTTTGTGGGGCTTTCTGGGTCGAGAGAGTAGCGAACCATTTTCACAGGTCACCTCAGGCCGCTTATAGGAAGAGGGAAAAACCTAGCAGTATGGCTTTTAAAGTGTTTTGGCAAAAGTTCTTTAGTATCACAGAACAATTGCATGTTTTTCTTTTTGACTGTTACCGCTTTGTGTGGTTTCAGTTCTCACGGTTGCTCCTCCCCCAGCCCACCTCAGTTCACCCTCTAGCTTGCCATTCGGAACCCTAATATGGCCTTTGAGATTTTGATTTCAAGCAGGTTATTCTCTTGCAATCATTTTCTGCCTTTCCAGCTCACTAGTGCTCCGAAGACAGCCAGTCCTGTCTGACCGAAATCTCCAGCTGAGTAGAGCACACTCCCGGGTGTCCTCAGGAACTACATGGCCTCTGGCCCCTTCCTCTGTGGGCTGCCCTGCTGTGCTTCCTGGTCACCCTGAGCTCAGCAGCTTTGCGCAGCCACGCCCTTCTGCTGTGACGTTCCTGCCTTAGGGCCAGCTGACCATGAACTGCATTCCCGTAAAACAGGGGCTAAATTAAACCCCTCCTCTTTTGCATCAGGTATTTCATTCAGGAACAGGAAAGCTGACTGATACATGCACACATTTCTCCATCCATCTTACTCAATTTCTCAACCAGCACAGTTGGCCAGACCCTCTTTTTGAAACCCTCCCAAGGTGCCCAGTACTTGATACCGGTCTTCCTCCTCCTCCATCTCACTTCTCCAAGTGAAGTACTTCTACACCTCAGCACTGGGCCCTTCCTCTCATCTATATCTAAATGTTTTAAGTGGTCTCACTAGGGTCTTTTCCCTTCACCATTGCATTGGCAGGTCCTCACTCAGGCTTAACTAAGTAAACAGCAGGTCTGTCATAAAATATTTTTGGAACAGTGCAATAACATTATTATTGTCCTACAAATGAGGCTAGAGAGGTGAAATACTTCACCTGTGATTACACAGCTAAGGACCAAAACTAGGATTCAAACCTTATCTATCCCTTAGGTCGCACTGTCTCTCTGTATATTTTATCCCTAACTCCTAAAATCTGCCTTCATTTGGTTAATTCCTAAGCCAGTTAGAATGATGGGTATCCCTGAACATGCCTATTTTCCCAACTCCCAGCCTTTTTTGGATTTGAAACCTGATTCCCACTTCTAATGGAACATCTCCCTGCATCTGTCTCGTGACATCTTTCAATTTCTATGTCAGCCTTGCCATCTTAATTCTTCTGGTTGCAAGCAAATTCTCCCCCACCTAAGCTGCCTGTGAGTACAGTGATATACGGGTACTTTTCTAGCTCCGGGCTGCCCACCTGCGAAGTACTTCCGGAGCTGCCTTACACAGCGCACTGCTCCATCCCCATCTGCCGCCCTGTGATGAAATGTTTTAAACTGCATTTCACATACAGGCAGAATACCCCAAGAAGAGTAGAAAACTGATTTCTTTTTTAACCGTACACTCTACCCAGAGACTCTGGCTGAGGCCCTGGTCAGTGGAGAGGATTTGGTGGACATCTTTTCTTTTTGGCGAACACAGGATGGAGGGCAAACGCCCTGCTGCAGTCCTGCAAGCCTGGACAGAACAGCTCTCTCTCCCACCTCTTTGCTGGACTGCGGCCTTTTCCAAGGATCCCGGTGACCGGAGCTCTGGCAAGGGGCAGTCAGCGCAGGGACAGCCCAGGTCCTGGTGCTGGCAGGAGAAGCGGGCTGGTCGTTTTGGGGTCACTGTCGCCCATCTCAGCCTCGTGCTGTGAACACGCCATGGCAGGCGACCAGGGAGAGTCCACAGTGTCCACCGCAAGCGGGAGGGAGGTCACTGCGCACCGCCACTGTCCCCTACTGGCCTCCAGCCTCTGCGGCCCCCGCTGCACACCAGCCCGGGCTACAGCTGGGTCCGCCCGGCCGCGACCGTGGGCGTAGGGACCTGCTGTTCGGGCCGGGAAGGCAGGAACAAAGGCGCGGAGCAGCGCGGAGCCGCTGGGGGGGACCCCGGGCGGGAAGGGGAGGGCAGAGGAGCGGAGGGGGGGCGGGA